TGTGGAGGTTTCAAGTGTGGAAGTGACAGCGGTGGAAGTGACACCAGAAGTGATGCCTGTGGAGGTGACAGCAGTAGAGGTGACAGATGTGGGTGTGACAGCGGTGGAGGTGACATCAGTGGACGTGACAGCAGTGGAGGTGACGCCAGAAGAGGTGACAGCAGTAGAGGTGACATCTGTTGGAGTGACAGCAGTGGAAGTCACACCAGTAGAGGTGACAGCAGTGGAGGTTTCAAGTGTGGAGGTGACAGCTGTGGAGGTGACTCCAGTGGAGGTGACACCAGAAGAGGTGACAGCAGTAGAGGTTACAGCAGTGCTGGTGATGGCAGTGGAGGTGACCAGAGAGGAGGTGACATCTGTGGGGGGGACAGCAGTGGAGGTGACAACAGAAGCGATGCCTGTGGAGGTGACATCTGTGGAGGTAGCAGAAGAGGAGGTGACATCCGTGGGGGTGACAGCTGTGGAAGTCACGCCAGTAGAGGTGACAGCTGTGGAGGTTTCAAGTGTGGAAGTGACATCTGTGGTGGTGACACCAGAAGTGATGCCTGTGGAGGTGACAGCAGTGGGGGTAACAGCAGTGGTGGTGACATCTGTGGAGGTGGCTCCAGTGGAGGTGACACCAGAAGAGGTGACAGCAGTTCTGGTGATGGCAGTGGAGGTGACATCCGTGGGGGTGACAGCAGTGGAGGTGACACCAGAAGAGGTGACAGCAGTGGAGGTAGCAGAAGTGGAGGTGACATCTGTAGGGGTGATGACAGTAGAGGTGACAGCAGTCGAGGTGACATCAGTGGGAGTGACAGCAGTGGAGGTGACACCTGTAGAAGTGATGCCTGTGGAGGTGACAGAAGTAGAGGTTGCAAAAGTGGAGGTGACATCTGTGGGGGTGATGACTGAAGAGGTGATGCCAGTGGAGGTGACATCTGTGGAGGTGATGGCAGTGGTGGTGATGCCCATGGAACTGACAGCAGTTGAAGTGACATCTGTGGGGGTGACAGCAGTGGAGGTGACATCGGTGGGAGTGACAGAAGTAGAAATCACACCAGTAGAGGTGACAGCTGTGGAGGTTTCAAGTGTGGAGGTGGCATCGGTGGAAGTGACACCCGAAGTGCTGCCTGTGGAGGTGACAGCAGTGGAGGTGACATCTGTGGGAGTGGCAGCAGTGGAAGTCACTCCAGTAGAGGTGACAGCAGTGGAGGTTTCAAGTGGGGAAGTGACATCAGTGGAGGTGACACCAGTAGTGATGCCTGTGGAGGTGACAGCAGTGGAGGTAGCAGAAGTGGAGGTGACATCAGTGGAAGTCACACCTGTGGAGGTGACAGCAGTGGAGGTTTCAAGTGTGGAGGTGACATCTGTGGTGGTGGCTCCAGTGGAGGTGACACCAGAAGTGACAGCAGTGGAGGTAGCAGAAGTGGAGGTGACATCAGTGGAGGTTACATCAGTGGAAGTCACACCTGTGGAGGTGACAGCTGTGGAGGTGACATCAGAGGAGGTGGCATCTGTGGAGGTGGCTCCAGTGGAGCTGACACCAGAAGTGGTGACAGCAGTAGAGGTGACATCTGTGGAGGTGATGGCAGTGGAGGTGACATCTGTGGAGGTGATGGCAGTGGAGGTGACACCAGTAGAGGTGACAGCAGTAGAGGTGACATCTGTGGGAGTGGCAGCAGTGGAGGTGACAGCTGTGGAGGTGACATCTGTGGAGGTGGCTCCAGTGGAGGTGACAGCAGTGGGGGTTACATCAGTGGGGGTGACAGCAGTGGTGGCAACAGAAGTGGAGGTGACATCTGTGGGGGTGACAGCAGTGGAAGTCACACCAGTAGAGGTGACAGCAGTGGGCGTCACAGCAGTGGAGGTGACAGCAGTGGAGGTTTCAAGTGTGGAGGTGGCATCTGTGGGGGTGGCTCCAGTGGAGGTGACACCAGAAGAGGTGACAGCAGTAGAGGTTACAGCAGTGCTGGTGATGCCAGTGGAGGTGACAGCAGTGGGGGTGACATCCGTGGGAGTGACAGCAGTGGAGGTGACGCCTGTAGAGGTGACATCAGTGGAGGTGATGGCACTGGAAGTGACGCCAGTAGAGGTAATAGCAGTGGAGGTGACATCAGTGAGAGTGACATCTGTGGAGGTGACACCAGAAGTGATGCCTGTGGAGGTGACAGCAGTGGCGGTAGCAGAAGTGAAGGTGACATCTGTGGAGGTGGATCCTGTGGAGCTGACACCAGAAGTGGTGACAGCAGTGGAGGTTACAGCAGTGCTGGTGATGTCAGGGGAGGTGCCTGGAGAGGAGGTGACATCCGTGGGGGTGACAGCAGTGGAGGTGACATCAGTGGAGGTAGCAGATGTGGAGGCTGCAAGTGTGGAGGTGACATCTGTGGGGGTGATGACAGTGGAAGTGACAGCAGTGGAGGTGACTGCTGTGGAGGTGGCTCCAGTGGAAGTCACACCAGTAGAGGTGACAGCTGTGGAGGTTTCAAGTGTGGAAGTGACAACAGTGGAGGTGACAGCAGTAGAGGTTTCAGCAGTGCTGGTGATGCCAGTGGAGGTGACAGCAGTGGAGGTGATGGCAGTGGAGGTGAATGGAGAGGAGGCGACATCTGTGGGGGTGACATTTGTGGAGGTGACACCAGAGGAGGTGACAGCTGTGGAGGTAGCAGAAGTGGCGGTGACATCAGTGGGGGTGACAGCAGTGGAAATCACACCAGTAGAGGTGACAGCTGTGGAGGTTTCAAGTGTGGAAGTGACATTGGGGGAGGTAACACCAGAAGTGATGCCTATGGAGGTGACACCAGGAGAGGTGACAGCAGTTGAGGCTACAGCACTGCTGGTGATGCCAGTGGAGGTGAACGGAGAGGAGGTGACATCTGTGGGGGTGACAGCAGTGGAGGTGACATCAGTGGGAGTGATAGCAGTGGAAGTCACACCAGTAGAGGTGACAGCTGTGGAGGTGGCTGTAGAGGAAGTGAGAGCAGTTGAGCTGACAGCTGTGGAGGTCACACCAGAAGTGATGCCTGTTGAGGTGACATCAGTGGGGGTGATGACAGTAGAGGTGACGCCAGTGGAGGTGACAGCAGTGGAGGTGGCAGAAGTGGAGGTGACATCTGTGGGGGGGACAGCAGTGGAGGTGATGGCAGTGGAAGTCACATCAGTAGAGGAGACAGCTGTGGAGGTTTCAAGTGTGGAGGTGACATCGGTGGAGGTGACACCAGAAGTGATGCCTGTGGAGGTGACAGAAGTGGGGGTGACATCAGTGGAGGTGACATCTGTGGGGGTTACAGTAGTGGAGGTGACATCGGTGATGGCACTTGTGGTTCCAGCAGAGGAAGTGACATCTGTGGCAGTGACAGCAGTGGAAGTCACACCAGTAGAGGTGACACCTGTGGGGGTGTGAAGTGTGGAGGTGACATCGGTGGAGGTGACGCCAGAAGTGCTGCCTGTTGAAGTGACATCAGTGGAGGTAGACAAAGTGGAGGTGACAGCAGTTGAGCTGATAGCTGTAGAGGTGACATCTGTGGGGGTGACATCTGTGGAGGTGGCTCCAGTGGAGGTGACAGCAGTTGACGTGACATCTGTGGGGGTGACGGCAGTGGAAGTGAGGCCAGTAGAGCTGACATCAGAGGAGGTGACATCTGTGGCAGTGATGCCAGTGGCAGTGACCCCAGTGGAGGTGACAGCAGTGGAGGTTACAGCAGTGCTGGTGATGCCAGTGGAGGTGACTGGAGAGGAGGTGACATCTGTGGGAATGACAGCAGTGGAGGTGACACCAGAAGTGATGCCTGTTGAGGTGGCAGCAGTGGAGGTAGCAGAAGTGGAGGTGACAGAAGTGGGGGTGAGGACAGTAGAGGTGATGCCAGTGGAGGTGACAGCGGTTGAGGTGACATCTGTGGGGGTGACAGCACTGGAGCTGACGGCTGTGGTGGTGACATCAGAGGAGGTGACATCAGTGGTAGTGATGCCAGTGGAAGTGACTCCAGTAGAGGTGACAGCAGTAGAGGTGACATCTGTGGGGGTGACAGCTGTGGAGGTGACACCAGAAGTGCTGCCTGTAGAGGTGATGGCAGTGGAGGTAGCAGAAGTGGAAGTGACATCTGTAGAGGTGACATCAGAGGTGGTGATGCCTGTGGAACTGACAACAGTGGAGGTGACATCTGTGGGTGTGATGACAGTAGAGGTGATGCCAGTGGAGGTGACAGCAGTGGAGGTGACGTCTGTGGAGGTGGCTCCAGAGGAGGTGACAGCAGTATAGGTAGCAGAAATGGAGGTGACATCTGAGGAGCTGACAGCAGTGGGAGTGACAGCAGTGGAGGCCGCAGAAGTGGACGTGACATCTGTAGAGGTGACAGCAGTGCTGGTGACAGCTGTGGAAATGACAGCAGTTGAGGTGACATCCGTGTGAGTGACAGCAGTAGAGGTGACATCTGTGGAGGTGGCTCCAGTGGAGGTGACAGCAGTTGAGCTGATATCTGTTGAGGTGACATCGGTGGGAGGGACAGCAGTGGAGGTAGCGGAAGTGGAGGTGACATCTGTGGGGGTGACAACAGTGGAGGTGACAGCAGTTGAGCTGATAGATGTAGAGGTGACATCTGTGGGAGTGACAGCAGTGGAGGTGGCTCCAGAAGTGATGCCTGTAGAGGTGACGGCAGTGGTGGTGATGCCCGTGGAACTGACAGCAGTAGAGGTGACATCTGTGGGGGTGACACCAGAAGAGGTGACACTGGTGGAGGTTTCAGCAGTGCTGGTGATGCCTGTGGAGATGATTGGAAAGGAGGTGACATGTGTGGGAGTGACAGCAGTGGAGGTGGCTCCAGTGGAGGTAACAGCAGTGGAGGTGACAGCAGTGGAGCTGATAGATGTAGTGGTGACATCTGTGGGAGTGACAGCAATGGAGGTGACACCAGAAGTGATGCCTGTAGAGGTGACAGCAGTGGCCGTAGCAGAAGTGGAGGTGACATCTGTAGAGGTGACAGCAGAGGTGGTGATGCCGGTGGAACCGACAGCAGTTGAGGTGACATCTGTGGGGGTGATGACAGTAGAGGGGACACCGGTGGAGGTGACAGCAGTGGGTGTGATGGCCGTGGAAGTGACATCTGTGGAGGTGACAGCAGTGGAGGTGGCTGCAGTGGAGGTGACACCAGAAGTGATGCCTGTAGAGGTGACAGCAGTGGAGGTTGCAGAAGTGGAAGTGACATCAGTGGGGGTGACAGCAGTGGAGGTGACATCTGTGGAGGTGGCTCCAGTGGAGGTGACAGAAGTAGAGGTAGCGGAAGTGGAGGTGACATCTGTGGACGTGACAGAGGTGACATCTGTGGGAGTGACAGCTGTGGAGGTGACACCAGAAGTGATGCCTGTTGAGGTGGCAGCAGTGGAGGTAGCAGAAGTGGAGGTGACAGCAGTGGGGGTGAGGACAGTAGAGGTGATGCCAGTGGAGGTGACAGCAGTTGAGGTGACATCTGTGGGGGTGACAGCACTGGAGGTGACAGCTGTGGTGGTGACATCAGAGGAGGTGACATCAGTGGTAGTGATGCCAGTGGAAGTGACTCCAGTAGAGGTGACAGCAGTGGAGGTGACATCTGTGGGGGTGGCAGTTGTGGAGGTGACACCGCTGGAGGTGACACCAGAAGTGCTGCCTGTTGAGGTGACTGCAGTGGAGGTGACATCTGTGGGAGTGACAGCTGTGGAAGTCACACCAGTAGAGGTGACAGCAGTGGAGGTTTCAAGTGTGGAGGTGGCATCGGTGGAGGTGACAGCAGTAGAGGAGACATCGGTCGGGGTGACATCAGATGTGGTGACACCTGTGGAGGAGATGGCAGAAGAGGTGACACCAGTAGAGGTGACATCTGTGGAAGTGGCGCCAGTGGAGGTGACAGCAGAAGAGGTAACAGCGGTGGAGGTGACACCAGAAGTGATGCCTGTGGGGGTGACAGCAGGGGAGGTGACATCAGTTGGGGTGACAGCAGTGGAGGTGATGCCAGTGGTGGTGACACCTGAAGAGGTGACAGCAGTGGAGGTGACATCTGTGGAGGTGACACCAGTAGAGGTGACATCTGTGGGAGTGACACCAGAGGAGGTGACATCGGTGGAGGTGGTGGCACTTGTGGAGGCAACAGGTGAGGTGACATATGTGGGGGTGACAGCAGTGGAGGTGATGCCGGTGGAGGTGACAGGAGGGGAGGTGACATCTGTAGGGATTACATCAGGGGAGGTGACAGCAGTGGAGGTGGCATCTGAGGTGGAGACACCAATGGAGGTGACAGCAGTGGAGGTCATCCCAGTCGATGTGACAGCAGTGGAGGTGACATCTGTGGGGGTGACTGCTGTGGAGGTGATGCCAGTAGAGGTGACAGCTGTAGGGGTGGCTCCAGTTGAGGAGGTGACATCCGTGGGAGTGACATCAGAGGAAGTGACAGCAGTGGAGGTGACAGCAGTGGAGGTGACAGCTGTAGAGGTGACATCTGTGGGGGTGTCTCCAGTGGAAGTGACAGCAGTAGAGGTGACATCAGATGTGGAGACAGCGGTGGAGGTGACATCAGTGGGGGTGACAACAGACAAGGTGACATCAGTGGGAGTGACAGCAGTGGAGGTGACATCTGTTGGTGTGGCATCAGTTGTAGAGACACCCGTGGAGGTGATGGCAGAAGTGGGGACAGCAGAGGAGATGACATCAGTTGGGGTGACAGCAGTGGAGGTGACAGCAGTGGAGGTGACAGCAGTGGAGGTGACAGCTGTGGGGGTGGCAGCTGAGGTGGAAACATCAATGGAGGTGATGGCAGAAGAGGTGACAGCAGTGGAGGTGACATCAGATGTGGAGACAGCGGTGGAGGTGATGGCAGTGGGGGTGACAGCAGTAGAGGTGACATCTGTGGGAGTGACAGCAGTGGAGGTGACAGTAGTGGTGGAGACACCACTGGAGGTGACAGCAGTGGAAGTGACAGCAGTGGAGGTGACAGCAGAGGAGGAAATGGTAGAGGAGGTGACATCTGTGGGGGTGACAGCTGTGGAGGAGACAGCAGGGGAGGTTTCAACCGTTGGGGTGATGCCAGTGGAGGTGACAGCAGTGGAGGTGACAGTGGAGGTGACAGCAGTGGAAATTGCTTCAGTAGTAGAGGAGACAGTGGGGGTCACTTCTGAGGTGGTGGCAGTGGAGGTGACAGCAGTGGAGGTGACATCTGTGGTGGTCACATGAGAGGAGGTGACGTCTGTTGGGGTGACAGCAGTGGACATTCCTTCTGTAGTAGAGGAGACTGTGGGGGTGGTGGCAGTGGAGGTGACAGCAGTGGAGGTGACATCAGTTGGGGTGACAGCAGAGGAGGTGACAACAGAGGAGAGTCCTTCGGTTGTAGAAGAGGCAGGAGAGGACACTGCTGAGGTAGAGGGGGCAGTTGTTGGGGTGACAGCAGTGGAGGCGACATCTGTGGGGGTGACAGCAGTAGACGTGACATCAGAGGTGGAGACACCGCTGGAGGTGGCAGCAGAGGTGGTTTCACCAGTGGAGGTGACAGCAGAGGAGGAAATGGCAGTGGAGGTGACATCTGTAGGGGTGACAGCTGTGGAAGAGACAGCAGGGGAGGTGGCATCTGTTGGGGTGATGCCAGTGGAGGTGACAGCATTGGGAGTGACAGCAGTGGAGGTGACAGTGGTGGTGACAGCATCTAAAGTGGAGAAACCACTGGAGGTCGATTCAGTGGGGGTGACAGCAGAGGAGGTGACAGCAGAGGAGGGTCCTTCAGTTGTTGAAGAAGCAGTAGAGGACACTGCTGAGGTCGAGGGAGGGGTGGTGGAGGTGTCACCAGTAGAGGTGATGCCAGTGGAGGTGACATCTGAGGTGGAGACAGCAGTGGAGGTGACATCCGTGGAGGTGACAGCAGTAGAGGCGGCATCTGAAGTGGTGACACCACTGGAGGTGACATCAGTGGGGGTGACAGCGGAGGAGGTGACAGTAGAGGAGGGTCCTTCTGTTGTAGAAGAGGCAGTAGAGGACACAGCTGAGGTCAAGGGAGGGTTTGTTGGGGTGTCACCAGTGGAGGGGACAGCAGTGGAGGTGACATCGGTGGTGGTGATGCCAGTGGAGGTGTCAGCAGAGGTGGTTTCAACAGTGGAGGTGAAAGCAGTGGAGGAAATGGCAGTGGAGGTGACATCTGTGGGGGTGACAGCAGTGGAGGTGACAGCAGAGGAGGGTACTTCGGTTGTAGAAGAAGCAGTAGAGGACACTGCTGAGGTTGAGGGAAGGGTTGTTGGGGTGTCACCA